TTCTCTCCCTTTCTCTCTCTTCCCTCCCTCTCTCTCTCCCTCTCTCTCTCCCTCTCCCTCTCTCCCGCTCTCTCTCCCTCTCCCTCCCCCCCCTCCCCCCTCTCTCTCTCACTACTACCACTACAGATGGTCGCCCGGCGGTACCGACGTCGGCAGATGGCAGCTGCAGCGGCGGTTCACGGTGGTCCGGCTCACGAGGTGGTGGCCATCGAACAGCCGCCAGCCTACCCCGGCCTGCATAGGAACAACGTCAATGCGACCCCCACCGGTGTAGCTGAAGCTGGTAGTAGTGGTAGTAGTGCTGCTGGTATTCCCACTGCTGTCCCCGTGACCACTGGGTACCCCAACACTGCTGTTCCAACCACTGGGTACGCTGTCCCAACCACTGGGTACCCCAACACTGCTATCCCAACCACTGGGCACCCCAACACTGCTGTTCCAACCACTGGGTACCCCACCACTGCTGTCCCAGCCACTGGGTACCCCGACACTGCTGTCCCAGCCACTGGGTACCCCAACACTGCTGTCCCAACCACTGGGTACCCCAACACTGCTGTCCCAATCTTGATCACTGGGTACCCCAATAATGCTGTCCCAATCATGATCACTCACTACCCCAACACTGCTGTCCCAACCACTGGGCACCCTAATAATGTGGTTTAAATGTAAGATGATGGCTGCTACTGTTTGAAATTGATAGCAAAAAGTATCTGTCTGTATCTGTATCTGTATCGGTATAGCCGGTATAACTGCCTTCGGCGTAACACACCCACTTTGCGGGCACGAACTTGGGTTGTTCCCAACAGATATAGATGTATCCGTCCGTGTAGTTAAATATTGGTTAAGACTCAAACAACTGGATACTCTCACACACCCCTTACAGGTAGATGCATTACTCTGTCAGCAACACAATATGGGAAATAGTAGTAAGAAAAGCTGGCTACACCATGTCAAAGAAATAATTAACAATGTAGGCTATTCTTTTTTATGGAACACCAACCACTGTACTTTAGACAACAAGAGTATATGTACATTGTTGAAGAGAAGACTAACCGATATGTATGTTCAAACGTTCTTTCACCAATTGTCTGTAGATAACGGCAAGCTAAGATTTTACAAGACTCTCAAATCCGACTACTCTATGGAAAAATACCTATACCACAATGAATTTGACGAGCGAGCTGCCATGTGTAAGATTAGAATAAGTGCGCATCCACTAGAGATAGAAAAAGGCCGCTATAGAAAACTACCTGTGCACGAGAGATTATGTAAATATTGTGCAATGAATGCAGTGGAAAATGAAATACATTTTGTTAGCCAGTGTCCCCACTATGAGACCGAAAGAAACAGATTATTTCAGACAGTTACAACAATTTCTCCATCCTTTCGTCATTTAGAAGATCACCAAAAAACTGCATTTCTACTAAGATCACAAAACCCACTAATTATGCAGAATGTGGGACTATTCATTATCCACTGCCTTCAAAGAAGAAGTCTAACCCCATAATAGCTAGCGTAGTAGTAGAAGTAGAAGATTTTTCCAGACAGTTGTTACCTGTCTCCTGTTACTGTATTGCAATGTGTTTTATTCTTGATTGTAAAAGCAATTAGCCTTCGGGCATGATTTTGCGAATAAAGTTTCTAATATAACTGTTATAGTTTGAAATTAAGTTATCCTCTTCTAAATATTTTTAAAGAAATGCCCCTGCAGTTCCTGAGCGAGCCGCTAGGGGGCCCAAACCTATGTCACTTCTTTCCCAGCACAAGACCTACCTACCATCCAAATTTCGTGACCCTATCACGTCCAGATCACGAGATATCAAAACCGGAAGTTCAGCTGCAGTACCATAAGAAGCCCCAAAATTTAATCATTCCGAGGTCTCATCAAGACCTACCCACCTACCAAATATGAAGTTAATCTATTTAAGCCTTCTCAAGTTATCGTGGTCACAGACAGACAGACAGACACACGAACGCCTCTGAAAACATAACCTTCTTGGCGAAGGTAATTAGGATTCTAACATGAACCCAGAGCACTTGTAGACTGAATACACAGGGTATGCTGGAAAGTATGTACCCTGGGTGCCAGCCAAGTTTACAGGCCGCTAACCGTTTTTTTCGGCAGCCAGGGTACTTCGCCCGCAGAGGAGTATATCGGCCTTCCAACTTGGAAGGCGGCCAAACTCCCCCCGGGCTAGACTCCCCCGTAGCAGTAATTTAGACCGGCGGGCGAAAGGCTCTTGCCGCCTGAAGAACGAGTTTGGCATCCAGGGTAGAAAGTATGGAAATTTTGTATATTCTTGAAGAATTCTGACTGTAAATGCAAAAATTATAAGTGCAACCTGGTGAATATATGGTAACTGTTTTGATATGCTATATAGTACCCATATAGCACATTAGCTATATACAGTAGCTATATTCTAAAACTTTTAACTAATAACATAGAGTGTACCATTGGAATGTAAGGAAAGGATTATTAAAAGGATAATGGGAATGAAGCATCCTTCTTGTGCAAGAGTTTTTTTTTTTTTTTGATAGATATAGAAATTGGCTAATTTTATAGAGGAAATGTAAGTTTATGTATTATGTGTTACATGTATGAGGCATATATAGCTGTGTGAAAGCCACAGTGTTCCTTTCACCGTGATATAACATTCTGTGAACCAACTGTCAAGTGTTGGGTTGAGTTGGAGAGGGCGAAAATTAGCTAGTGGGGCGAAAATTAATGCGCGTGTGGCGTCGTCCATGAAAACTACTGCTATGGCCTTATGTAGGAACAGGAACAGGAAGTGCATGGTGTAACGTTATATCCTCATCCTATTACAAGCAGGGCCCTCAGCCAATACCGTGCCACGAACGCCGGTATTTGCATTGATGTGCGTTTCCGGACCTCTTCTGAGCTAGGGGCGGAACAACAAGTCTACACAGGCATAATTTATAGGCACTAGAGAAGAGAACTGGCGGCCATTTTGACAAGGAAGTAGTGTGCGATATAGAGACCCATTCTAGGTTCGCCCAAGTCCTTGAGGTTCGCCAGTGCTTACACAGCTTGTTTATTTTCTTACTCGGAAACTCGCGATCTGTCCAGGCTCTACTAAGTACTACTACCATCTGCTGCCATGCCGTTCGTGTGTATTTTCGGTACCCGGTTGTTCGGGGCCTGTGACTACTTCAGTGTGGAGGGGCAGGAAATGTTCGTGCGAACCAAGTTCTACCACTTCAACTTCATGCCGTGTGCTCCGGAAGAGAGGTAAGTCTTTTGCATTCTGCATTTTGATTCAGTGTCATACGTATGTCACTTTAGTGTACGTATGTATGGAACGTTTATATGCAACAAGCTCAGAGTGTCAGTTTATAGTAGCGAAACCGCCCCTCCCCCTCATGCATGATAACGTCACATGTAGTAAGCTTAGTGGCTTCCTTTTGTCGCTGTGTTTATTCAGAGATTTTAGTCTGCTCTATACTTACTCTTTAATGAATAAAGAAGACCTTTATTGTACATTTTTGCCCCACTGGGCTAAATACTTATTGAGTGATGACAAGCAGTAGACTAGTACATTCGACTTCCTCTCGATTCCTAGTATGGCCATGTTGATTTGATTATATGGATGACATCCACGCGCGCATGAATTTTCGGCCGTTTCCAAAAAAAAAAATTTCAACCATACTGTAAATCGTGCAAAACAGTTGCTAAATGAGCAAAAATATACCATAAGTTGCAAGGAAAACATTTACAAACGATACCAATGTCGTAGAATGCCAAAATCAAAGGAAAAAAGACAAAAATGTAAAGAAATGAATTCGAAGAGTAGATTATTCGCCATAACATATTCTGTGCCATTTGTTCAACCTTCATGACCACGTAGATTTCATAGTGAAAGCAACTTTTTTTTTTGCAAAACTTTTTTTTTATTCGCACGCGTGCATCAATTTTGGGGTTCCCAGAGGATGTCATCCATATAATCAAATCAACATGGCCTAATAGTAGAAATATAGTCGCTTTGTCGTCAAGGCTAAAGTAACCTGTAACTGGAAAACCTGTGACGAGTAACCACCCTCCCCCAAACCCAGGTCTATAAAACATCTAAAATATCAACTGATCATACAGATCAAATTTGTTTGGTAATAGTGTAACGTTTCTTGTCGTAGACCTTTGTTTAACAGTTCTCGTTTGAACGATCACTGAAATATTGACGCACATTGTTTATCTTCCTTTTGCACTTGAACGTACAGCTTCCTGTTCGTGGCAGACGGGCGAGCTATCGAACTACCCGAGGTAGTGGGCAGGTCCGTGGGGTGGGCGTGGCTTCGGTACCTGGCCTGGGTGGTCTTTCTGACTGTCATGTGTGTGGCAGTCATCTTCTTAACAACGGTAAGATATAACGTTAGCTCTTTCTCAAATTTGTTCAAGTATACCACGTAGAACAAGAATTCACAACACTTAGTACTCATTTTCCTTTTTTTACTCATTGATCATGCAAATGAGTCATTATGTTTACTGAAGGAAAACATATTGTTTTTGCTATGTTTCCTCTTCTTTTTCTTCTTCTTCTTCTTCTCCAATCAGTGACCTCAGTGACCTGAACCAATGTTATGTCTGTTACCATGGTAACTAGTGTTTGGTTACATCATGTTGCAATTTTATAGCAGGAGGGATTTAGACTCCTGTGTGACCATATATATGAATGTGTTTGAGTAAGAATTTACTGATCAGACCATATGCAAAGGTTAATGCATTTGCTTTGCAAATGTTACCTTTTTAGTTTCAGCCAAAATTCTCTCTTTTCCAGGGACTTACTGAGGAGGCATGGCCGTGGGCACTGGTCGCCCTGTCCGTCGTGTGTTTGGGCGTCGCCATTTTCGTCACAGTCTACAAACCAAAAGCCAGCGAAGAGAGCAAGCAGGAGTACCTCAACATGGTCGGACAGGTGACTCAAAGATTTTTATGTCTGTTTAAAGCTAAAACTTTTAATCCAACACAACAAAGTTCTCTCACCTAGAGCTTTTGGATTTGCCCGCTTCATTTGTTTCTGACTGTAAAAAAAAACATTTCAGCCTCAGAATCGACTCCAAAATGCTCATATTTTGTCCCCAACAGTCGAAGGGAGTCCCTTCTCTTCAGAGTTGTTACAGTTTTTCCATCTTTCAATGCAGTGGTGTGATTAAAATTCTAATATTTAATGTTTGAATTTCAAACTAGCCTGGTATGTTGACTTCAAGGCTTCTTTCATAGCATTCGGGGCTATCATATGCCTAGGTCTATTTTCATTTTTTTATTCTTTTTGCCCTGTCACTTCATGTTTCATCAAAATGGTGTGGCCTAAACCAGTCACTACTACCACTACAGGTGGTCGCCCGGCGGTACCTACACGAGCAGATGGCAGCCGCAGCGGCTGTTCATGGCGGGCCGGCTCATGAAGTCGTTGCCATCGAGCAGCCGCCACCCTACCCAGGCCTACACAAGGACAGCGTCAATGTGGCCCCCGCCGGTGTCCCTGCTGCTGGTAGTCCCACTGTCATCCCTAACACTGGGTACCCCAACACTAGTACTGCTGTCCCAACCACTGGGCAACCCAATGTGGTGTAACTGTAAGATCAAATTGAGAGCATGTATCTGTCTGTATCTGTATAGCCAGTATAACCTGGGTGTAACACACCAGCTTCTGTATTTGTGTAGCCAGTATAACAGCCCTTTGACGTAACACACCAGCTTCTGTATTTGTATAGCTGGTATAACTGCCCTTCGGCGTAACACACCAGCTTCTGTATCTGTATAGCCGGTATAACCGCCCTTTGGCGTAACACACCAGCTTCTGTATCTGTATAGCCAGTATAACCGCCCTTTGGTTTAACACACCAGCTTCTGTATCTGTATGTATAGCCGATATAACAAGGACAGGTGTATAACTGATATTTGAAGGCATGACTGGTTCTGTTTCTTGTTGATGTAACATACTGAGACTAGAAAGACAGTATATACAGCAAGTACATGAAAGAGGTAGCCCTAGTCGACATGGCTTTTATCCTTCTAGCCTTGCTTACACTGTATAAAGGTAACTCGGTAGTGAAAACTCCCAGTGTGTAACTGCCCCGTGACACAAGCGTAAAAGATACTTATGTACATATATGTAGTACTTATTCTAATCGAGACATCTAGATACAACCTGTTATGCTACATGACATTTGAACTATTTTTGTTTGTTCAAGCTTATGTAGACACCAGTTTTGATTAATGATAACAAGAAAAATGCAAATTTATGCAACAAAATTGGAAATGGTCAAATAATAACAAACAGTAAAAATGAGCAGAAAAAACTAGAAAATACTCAATACTTATGATTTGATGCTGTTACCTGCACAATATATGGTGTATTTACACTTTTAGTGATTCAGATTTAGATACTTGTACTTTGAATTTGCTTTCAAGGAAGAAGAGATCTATTTTTGTGATGTTTGGTGAAAGAAGTGACTGGAGGTAACTTTTTCAAGAAGGTGCCAAGGAATCTTTAAGCTGCCAAGACTTGTAATGCTGTAGTGGCGAGGAGTGAATTGGGTGTATGTATAATGTTATAATATTTATATATACAGTTTGACATTAGGATTGTAACATAAATCCAGAGCACTTGTAGACTGAATACACAGGGTATGCTGGAAAGTATGGAACATTTGTAAATACTTGAATTCTGATTGTAAATTCAGATATTATAACGTTAAGTGTAACCTGGAGAATATGTGACAACTGTTTTGATATGCTATATAGTACCTGCTATATTCTAGAACTTATAACTAATCACATAGAGTGTACGATTGAAATGTAAGAAATGAATTATTAAAATGATATGAGAGTAAAGGATCCTTCAGTTTTTTTATAGATATAGATATGTACACATTGGCTGATTTTATAGAGGAAATGTATTACGTTTATCCCATTTTGAATGTTACCTGTATGAGACATAGCAGTGTGAAAGCTAAACCTTCCACTGTGTTATAACATTGGGTTACATTATGTAGCAGAAATTAACAGAGTTGGAGAGGCTGCTCACCGTACATATGAATGCATTTAATAATAAACAGAGCAGTACTTTGTTGAGCTAGACCAGTCGAAGGTAAACATTGTGCACTAAGTTTGACTTGCAAACATTACCCTTCCTATTATGTTAATCTTCTTGAGTTATAACCTTTCAAAGTCTCAAACCAAATTCCAAACTACCCCTTCTATAGAACGAAAGTTTATGATTGACACATTTCAATAATATCACTCAAAGCAGGGAAGGGTTGTGAGACACTATCCACAGTATGAAAGATCTGTTGATTTATGACCCCTTGGGAGGGACTTCTGTAGCAGGTGTCACATGTACATGTACACAGCAAGCTGCAAGTGGTCTTAGCTCTAATAGTTTTTTCAGGCTTCTCCTCCTGGACTATATGGATAACGATTCTGATTTGTTTATATCGGTCTTTGTTTGTATCTGTATCTTTGATTTTATTGTATTTTGTACTGGGCCCTATTGAAAATCAATTTGTCAAAATTGAACTTAGGCCACCCAGGTGTCAGAAGATTAAATAAATGAATTAATAGATGCAGTGCATGATTTACAGTGACGCAGGCATTTTGTGTATGTAAAAAGTATTTAAGAGTGTCTGAATGCTTTCTTTGAAGTGATTATTATCTTAAAAAGCTACAGTGAAAATACAGAACATCTTTTCGGACACAAATTTTCCTGAAAGAGGACTTGGCAAAAATTTATAATTGGATGTCAGAAAAGGATAAATATAAGAGTGAGCCCAACTTAGGACTGCCCCTGGGGACAAAACATAATATTCATTAAGATAGCCTGCAAACGCAAACGTACTTTTTATTGGACCCTTACATTGTACATTACACATGATTCAAGGAGACGGCAAGAATAAGCAAATATGGCCCTAAGTAACAACAAATTCTGTCCTTTGTTAAGGTAGTCGCAAACCTCATAGCACTGTATAACCTTTAAGATTATTTACTAAATTATTCAGCAACTATAGAGTTCCCCCGATCTCATACCTTCGCCAAATGATGTTAATCTTTATGGCTGACAAATTATAGATTATTCCCCCTGCTTGTGCAAATAGGATCCTCATTTTCATGAATTATATCAGTTTACCATATTCTCAGCCAAAAGGCAGTCTTATATTAACAATGCCATTCTAGCATTTTCTCATAAATTATGCAAATGAGGTCCTAATTTGAATACATGATGTTTAAATGATGTTCACCTTCAATGAACTTTCAACTACCATAAGTATGAAATTCCAGGGAGTTATCATTACAGAATTATAACATTTTCTCATTAAATATGCAAATTAAGTCTTTATTTACATAATCAATACCTGCCTGTGTTTATCTCGTTCTCATGAGATATCAAAGCCGGTTCAGTTGCAGTACCATAACAAGCCGCTAGGGGGTCCAAAATCTAATCATTTTGAGGTCTCATTAAGACCTACCCACCTACCAAGTATCAAAACAATCCATTGAAGCCTTCTCAAGTTATAGTGTTTACAGACGGACGGACGGACACACACACATACACGAACGCCTCTGAAAGAGGGTCTGCATGGGGGGGTCCTGGCAACGGTTAACGGTAAATTCAGCAGGGCCGATAACGCTTAACGGTAAATTCAGGACGGCCGGCAACGCTTAACGGTAAATTGACAGGCTTTTTTTCGAGCTGCACTGAATTTGGTATCTCGCTTTGTGAGAAAAGGTGATCACTGACAAAATTACGTATACCTTACATGTAATGAAGCACGCATTAAAGGTATGTGTTCCCTGTGTTTCCCACCTGCCCTGGTCCCCGAGTGCGTCCACAAATAAAGGGGAGTCCGAGTCGACGTCGGCCAGCTTGCATTTTTTTCAGTCTGGCCAGTTTTACCGATGGATTTTGGCGCTCGTAATCTAGGGGGGTCCGGGGATGCTCCCCCGGGAATGTAGGATTTTTAAGCCTTCAAAAACGCAATTTCCCGCATTTTGAGAGGCAAATCATGGTGTTGAGAGTGTCAATCCTTCTGATGTTTTCATATTTTACTCAAGATTTTTGTTAATTTGCCTGTCGAGGTTGACGGATTCGTTAAAAAAATTCTGTAACTCTCCGCAAACTTCCGAAAATTGACGGGAAAGTTGGTTCTAACTAGAGTCGAAGGAAACCGAGCGCAGAAGCGCGAGTCGAGCGCCAAAGGCGCGAGCAATGTAGGGTGGGTCCGGGGGCATTCTCCCCCGGGAGATTTTGTATTTTTAAACCCTCAATGACGCATTTTCCTGCACTTTGAAAGGCAAAATTAGGCGTAACGAAGAATTATTCATTAACGCTTAACGCTGAATTTAGGATGACAAATAACGTTTTACGTAGAATTAAAACGACCAATAACGCTTCACGATGAATATACTGATAACGCTTAACGTTGAATTAGGGCGGGCCGGCAACGATTAACGGTAAATTAAAATAGCCCATAACGGTTAACGAAAAAGGGCATGCAGACCCTCCTGAAAACATAACCTTCTTGGCGAAGGTAATAACGTATTAGCAAGCACGCGATTGTCTACATTTTGAGATCCACATCGGAATGGTTAAACCTTCATTTACACCGCTGGCTAGGACAAGCTAAAGCGATTAATCGTTGGTTTATACAAAGTTGCATGCGACTGCCATTGGTGATATGAGGGGGTCAAATAGACCACATGCGTCTCCCTTCTTTCTGTCCGTGACGACAAAAGTCATGAGGAAACTTGTTGTGCATTTCTTCACACAGATTGCATCTGCAAAAGTAAAGAAGTAAAAGATACTATAACAAATGAGGCTTGCCCAAGGATGGAATGTAATGGTAAGATATATCATATGCCAATCTTGTTCTTGACGATCTTGCTCTCTAAATATTTTTGCTTCATTCGTATTCTCATCAACGGGCAGCGAGTTGCATTACTTTCCTTGCATTAAAACTGTCGTTCTCATTTACAGCAGTTAATATATAGAAGTAAAACCATAACACGACGCAAGGTGAAGCTGTACTTGTCAGAATAAAACTTGAAGGTGTATCGTACCGGATAAGACCCCGGGTTGCGTACCGGATAAGACCCCGGGTTGCCACCGCTCTCATTAACTTCTTGACGGAAGGAGTTGACGACCATGATTCCGTAGATCTGGAACGCATAAAATTATTATTAACTCCAGTCGTAAACGGCAAATAGAACAGATATAGGCTGTATTGTATATTCCTCATAATGTTGCGCAACAATTGACTGCTGTGTTTTGCTACTAGTATCTTTAACAGTTCCTTCTCTAGGACTTACCAAGATAAAGATGAACACAGCGACGATGGCGATCACGACGTAGATGCCAATGGCTATGGCGTCCTGTTTAAACATTTGTGGTCATATTAGGATAAGAAGGTAATCAGTGTACTTTCGTGTCAGTTTTCTCTTTCAATATTGTTATTTGTGAACGTTGCTTTTCGAAAACAACAACAATAAAGGTAACAATAAAGTTAACAATGGTCTACTCTGCACAAAGTCTGCTATGACAGCAATTGCAAATTACCCCACATTGATTGTGTATGAGTTGGAACTATCATTAAGGATATTTGGTTGGTTACGGCTTTTTCTGCCTGGTTTTTCTAGTCGGAAGGAACACCAGTAATGCTACGGTTTTCTCTCCCAACAGTACATGTTTGAAGATTAGTGTATACAGGTAATAATTGTACTCACGGTTAAGAATCCACCTAGGAAAGTCGATTGTGATGCGGTGCCACTGAACAAACTAGCACTATAAGCCACAGAACAGAGCAACCCCAGCAGGCCGATGTTCAACACCAAACAGATGCTGGACCAGATGATCCAAGCAAGGCACGGGCCGGCTTTGTTCTGTAACATAACATAACATAACATAACATAACATAACATAACATAACATAACATAACATAACATAACATAACATAACATAACATAACATAACATAACATAACATAGCATAGCATAGCATAGCATAGCATAGCATAGCATAGCATAGCATAGCATAGCATAGCATAGCATAACATAACATAACATAACATAACAACATAACATAGCATAACATCTTCTCATTTGCTACAAGACACTCATACGACCAGTTTGCGAATACGCCGCCCCCGCGTGGCACCCGGGCCTAACATCAGCTCAACGAGCAAGGATTGAGGCTATACAGAGAAGGGCATGTCGGATAATCTTAGGACCTTCATACACATCGTACGCGGAAGCATGCCGCAAACTTGACTTGCCCACACTTGAAGCCAGACGTCGTACCCTGTCTTACAACTTCGCCAGAAGGATGCTTGACTCTGAGACTTACAGAACTTGGCTCCCACCTTTGCGTGGCGACATAAGTACCAGAGACACTAGATCTAAGCACCTGCTGAACCCTATCAAAACTAGAACAAGTAGATATTACAACAGCCCCATCCCGTACATGACCAGACTCTTGAATGAACACTAATACCTATACAAGAACTGTGAACTTGCGAACATAGTGAATCTTGCCAATATGGGTTAATGTTGTTAATGCTAGCCACGTATATTTGTGTAAATGTGTTAACGCAAACTATGACGAAATTAATAGTAAGCCTTAATTTTTTTTTAATTATGAGTTTATGAGTAATGAGATGAGTAATATGAGTAATATGAGTTTCTATATTGTGTTAATGAGTTTCTATATTGAGTTTCAATGAGTACTGTTAGTTTGTAATTTAAGATTTTTTAGCAATTGTACAAGGTATGCAATTCAGCCCGGTGGCTGCAAATTACTTTCAATAAACCATCTATTATTATTATTATTATAACATAGCATAGCATAGCATAACATAGCATAGCATAGCATAGCATAGCATAAAATAACATAGCATAGCATAGCATAGCATAGCATAGCATAGCATAGCATAGCATAGCATAGCATAGCATAACATAACATAACATAACATAACATAACATAACATAACAACATAACATAGCATAACATAACATAGCATAGCATAGCATAACATAGCATAGCATAGCATAGCATAGCATAGCATAGCATAAAATAACATAGCATAGCATAGCATAGCATAAAATAACATAACATCGAGATCTGTTGTTAGTGAGTATGAAGATATCGTGGTCATAGTGTGTACATGTACATGTACAAAACAATGTATATATTTGACTGATGATGAAACACGGTATACAGCTGAGCTATTACAAACATCATTCTGAACTAGTTCAAACTATTGAGTACACAAGACCGAAGGCCAGAAGAGCTAAAAGAAAGCAACTCCTAAAATCGGTAAACGCAAAATACTGCATGCCGAACACTGAATCAGAGATGATCTAACGTTATATCTCTGACAGCCATTTTGAAGTATCCACTTTCAATAAGATTACCAACCTGCACGGCGCCCCGGATCAGCAGGATCGAAAACCCGATGGAGATAGCATAGACGGCGATGAACGTGTACAAAGGTCTGGCTGGTATTGAAAGAGTAGAAGAAGATAGAAGTTACGTTAAAAATAGCAACTAAATAGTACATTTCTAATATGCTGAATTTTACTGAAAACAGATGCGTCCGCGTGTTTGCAAATTGGTAGTCTTGTGCGTAGGTTAAATCTTTTGTGTCTGTTCGTATGACTAGTACTAGTTATAGACCTACGAAAATCTCTGTTTTCCTTGTACGTTTGTTGTTTCAATAAAGTTCTTCTATGGTAACGAGTAATTGCATAAGCAGGGTAGCTGATATTCTTGTCGCTTATCTTGAATAGAAATCATACTTCATTTCATTTCATCTCACCTACACCGCCACTAGCCACAATCGGCCAAACATTTAAGCCTAGCGCTAGTGCTGACAGGATCTGTGAAGTGGAAACAAGAAATTACAAATCAATCGTTACCAATTCATAATACCTAGTAGTGTATACTGTTACCTCTATCTTTATGTTTATAAATATTTCAGCCATAATATTCTGATAGTAGATACTTTCATGCTCGTTATTTTGTGTTATTCAAGTTATTGTTTCACTATAGCTAGCTCTTATTCATATAGTAGATCTTATTGACATTCATTGAATATGGATCACACAAATTAGTATAATACATATCAACCACCAGGGAGGTCAACGTTTATGCGCAATATTAATATTCTTCATAAATCGCTTTTATGTGTGACTATAACGGGTCTTCATAACCAAGAGCTAAAGAAAAAGAGAGAATTCGAATGTACCACATCGATAATCCCAATAGCAATCGACCCTTCGCGGAGGGGGTAGCAACAGCAGGACTGGAGCCGACAGCAGCACATGATTGGTCTCACAGCGCCCCTAGGTATTTCTGAAGAAAGTACAACAAGGGATGAAAGGGTCGGATTTGATGTCGCAAAAAGCGGGAAGCAAAATATAAAAGTGATCTCGATCCAGTTTAGCTCATTGAAGAGCTAATCTTCCACTGGTCGTGACAGAGAAGACAGACGCTATATACAGTATTTACAGGTTCATTGTACCGGGGAAATTCCCCTAGCTCTTTTCGACAAGCACAATGAACAGTGGGCCACAGTTAACGTCCCGTCCGAAGGACTGCGACCCTAAACAGTAGCGTGCATGTCGGGTGAGCGACATCAGCCGGGATTCGAACTCCCAACCTCTTAGTCCTGGGGCAGGATCGCTCACCACTGGACTACGCACAATATGAAACACAATGTCGTACAGCCACACCCGATCGAACGTGTTCAGAGGTTTGTGACACAACAGTAACGCCCTCCCTCCCATACCCTACTAACTGCCGTATCTTTGATATTGTGTTCAACTATATCCACCACTCTGGAAGATTTGACCAAACTCAATAATGCTATGCTATAGGCATTGGTGCGCCAGCCACTTTCATTTTATGTTTATGCTACACTTTATGTCATCTTTATGTTTACTTTTGTATTATGTTTTATGAGCAGCGGATTTACATAAGCACAACAAGTGCTTTGTATCCAATGCTCAAAAATCCATGTGAATAAAATAAAATAAAATAAAATAAAACAGTAACGCCGCAGGGCGAGTCTCACATATTACTCACGGTGGTAAAGAAAGTAATTATAGCAGCAAACGTTAACAGGGTCGGCAAAACTGAGCTCTTCATATGAGAATTACAAGGACACACTATGAAGAATGTTACCCAAAGGGAATCGAAAAGTATGCGGTTGCAATTTCCCACTACATAACGTTGTTTTACGGCAAAATCGTACGCTCGTATCAACTCTAGATGGGGCAGATATGTGCTATATTTTTCACCTGTCTCGCGCTACGACGGACACAAATGAAAACGTTCTGGGTGTGGTACTGTGGCACGTAGACCAGATCTTCACACCGAGCAGAGTCTCGTAACTTTGGAAGAAATACTACACACACTTCCACTCTTTATCTATTTATAAACAAAATCACACCAATCGACTTGCCTAGACAATGACTGAATGTATTGCTGATATTGTGAAACAAGCAAAATAACACGTAAGCAAGACGGTATTCCGGATTAAAGGTAATGCCAATGACACAAATACAAGTAGTAAAGTCAATTGTTTCTGTAAACTAAGAACTAAAAAAAAAACTTATATTGCTATGTGATCGACTGGCAGTTTTCAGCATAGGAAAACGTATTACAATCCTACCTTCACTTGTTGCCGAGGTTGCTTGGTGCTTCTTCGGAAATGTTTTCGTCCAACTTCTTGATGTGTTGTACAGTAGTCTCGTTGCTTTCTATGCGCTGCCTGTATGCGGGGTCGTCCTGTGTTCTTGGCGGTTCCAAGCTCACTGTCGCTCGGCGAATGTTCCTCTGACAAGCGTATCGCGACGGTCAGTCTTTTATACTTTTCTCGACGACCGCAAATCACGACGTACAGATATTTTTATCTCAAAAGATGAGATCATGATATGATCTAAATATGGCTCTAGTTGCCCTACCCTTCTTGCCACACCCGGTCAACGAACCCTACGGTAGTTACATATGCAAATTCAACGTCGTGTAATTAGACACTGAGATTTGTATGATCTCTTTTAACAGTTTAAACTATCAGAATAAGTACAGTAACTGTAGTTTGTATAGTCAGACCTGCACTAGTGACCATCTCTACTACTTAAATGGTTATGTATAATTAGTTTATTTTCCTTTTGACACAAGTAGCATTACGTATCCTGTCCACAGTGAGAAAAAAATGTCTATACTGGTATTGAGACCATTCTTGAATGTATGCTACAACAATACACAAATAAGCTAACATAAGAAATAGGATATTCGAGTCACCATTGTATACTGTGAATATAAAAACACCGTGGATTGTCCATTTGCCCCAAACCTGCCAATCTAAACATACTTACACTACTCTGTTCAGTTATTCAAGAAAAGATTCAAGAAAGCACAGTGGCAGTGTAGAGAGATTCAAACATAAATATGGCAATGAACAAATTCTGATTAAACGAATTGAAAGTACATATTTAGTTAGAGGTAACACACTCAGCTAAATAGATTTTCGACTGGTAGGTCAATATTACACACTACATTAACTCCATTGAAACGGAATTTTCCACTCCATTGTTCAGTGCTGGGTGGTTCTGTACGTCAGCAGATTCAAAATTACATTTGACTGATAGGTCATAATTACACAGTTGATTACACCCATGAACTCTAGTGCCCCCCCCCCCGAACGGCAATGGTATATTCCCGGCAACTACGTTCATAAAAACCTGGGTCTGTAGGTTGCCCGGTCATTAGCGGTCATCAAGTAGTTCAAAAGTAAGTTAGTATTCTAAAATATCAAAGAATATCTTAGCCCTCGAAATAAAGATCATGGATAATGAACCATCATTCCTGTTATTTTGCGCAAACCTTCATTATCTAAATAATTATCTAAATTAGTTCTATACATAGACACCAGAAGGCACTGTTAGTCTACAAGTCTCTTAACGGTCTGTTACCCGACTATATGAGACTAATGTTCACTTACTCTAGCGACAGGGCAGTCAGGACAACACGTCAAAGTGTATCAAACAGATTGCATGTACCGATGGTCCGTAGAGAGCTATACAGGAGGTCGATAGCGTACTCGGGTGCCACGACATGGAACAGTTTACCGCCAAATGTAAGAATAGCACCCTCAGTGGCAGCATTTAAGAACATGCTGCAATAATACACTATGGAATTGATCAGGACTGGACCATAGAGACGATGCTGTGACTAGTGTAAGTTGTAATGAAATTGTAATACGTTAATTTTGAAGCTATTGTGTTATCGGGACCCCTGGCCTCTCCCACCTTGAGCACTTGAAAAGCGGCTATGGCCGAAGTGTAATCTTTCAAGGCTAAATAAAGGTCGAAAAAAAATGTATGGAACAAAAACACAAAAGTGGCCTCACAAGCAGATTCTGTTGTAAGATTTTGTATCTCCATTGTTCAGTGCTGGGTGGTTCTGTACGTCAGCAGATTCAAAATTACATTTGACTGGTAGGTCATGATTGCATAGGTCATTAACCCTACCTAGACCGGGGGGGGGCTAAAAGTGCCCGCGGCAACTTTGATGTCACCTAGCGTCTGAACGGCTAGCCGTAGAACGGCCAAACTTGGTGACTTTTCCTAAAATATTGTTGGCAACAATTCTCTATCATTGGA